AAATATCTTTTAAATAATCTTAAATATTAAATATTAAATCTTTTGAATTAATATTAATTAAAAAAAGGTTATTTTAAAATATTTAATTAAATTTAAAACTTAACTTTTAAAAATATTTTAAATATTTTCAAAAATATATATATTATAACTAAAACTTTTTTTATTTGGATATTTTAAATAGTAAATTAATATTTCAAAATCTTTGAAATTTCAAATAATTTAATTTAAAATTAAATTTAAATTTTAGTATTAATTTTTTTTAAATAATTTTAATTATTTGAATATCTTTATATTTAATTAAATATTATAGTAATTATTTTTAAAAATTAAAAATTATTTTAAAATTACTTTAAAAAAATCAGAGGATCTCTCAAAGTATTTTGAAACTATTCTAATGATATTTTAAATATTTAATTTCAAGATTTATATTTTTATATTTAAGTATATATGTATATATTTTAAAATTATATATACATTCAATTTAGAACATTTGAGAGATCCCTTAAAATCTTAAACCTAGATTAAACATGTTTGAATATAATTAGTGGGAAGGGTGGTTAATCAATGAGAAATTACTTTGTTAATTGTTCATTGATTAATCTCTCAACTAATTAAGTTTTATTTTATTCTTTGCATGTATAGGATGCACACACTTGCACCTAGTTTAGGCTCTCATAGATTTAGGATTTGATTGTGTTTATGTGTGATGCATTCATATATATTAAGTTCAAGGGTTAGTATAACTTTGATTCAAATTTACTTAACTTAGTAACATCATTAAGGATAATAATTAAGAACCTTTCTCTAAAAGACTTAGATTAATTTTAGAAATTATTATACACTTTATTTTGACTTAAAACTTTGAACATTTAAACCTAGTGATATCTCCAACCCTTAGAAAAATTTTCAGCAATTTTAAAAGTCATTAAATCCTTTAATTAATTTTCTTAAAATTAAACCTTTAATTAAGTAATCCAAAATTTCTAATAATATTAAATTTGGATTCCAAAAATTATAAATAATATCTCAAACTCTCTAGACACTCCTAATCAATGAAAATTAAAATCCATTTGATTTGACATCCAATTCAAGCTTAATTTATTTTTTTATTAAAACCTAATATTTAAATAATTTAATTATTTAAAAATAATTAAAAATTCTAGAAAATTCGCAAATACTAAGGAAACTCTCCTTAGGTCATCCCTGACCTTTGGAGTTGATTTTAAAGAATTGGGAGTTCATTTGAAGCAAAATCAATAAAACCCCATTAACTAAATCAATTAAATAATTCAAATAATTATCAAACTTTAAAAAATTATAACTAATTCTTGAAAAATTCAAATTGACCCAACTCAAAGGCATTCAATTCCAAATAAAATCTAATATTTATCAAAAATATTAAAATTTTAAAAATCATTCAAATTTGAAAAAGTTTATTTTTGGTCAAAACTTAAGTTAAAAATCAAATCAAATATTCAAACCTTCATAATAAAATATAGAAAAATCCAAATCTAGCATACTTATAGTCTAACTGATAGTATTAAGGTATAATATTTTATAAAAATACTAATCTTTCATAAATAAGCCTTAATAAAAAAGTCAAAAATTTCCCCCTTAATTAAATGATTAAAATAATCCATAAAATTCAAAAAATTCTAAAATCACTTAAGAATCCAAAAAATTTTAATTTAACTTTAAATCAAAAACCGATTAACTTTAATTAAAATTCATTGACTGTCAAACCTTAAATCAAATCTAATCCCTTAATCATACTGAATATCAATAGGTAACTTAGGCCTATGAGGTTATTAAATTAGCTCCAAAGAATGTGAAATAAATTTCACGGCCTTGGTGGGCAACAAAGGTGGTAATCAATAACCTTTTAAAATATAATTTAAATTAATTTTAAGCCATTAATACTTAAACTCAAATTTAAATCCCTTAAACCTTTGAACTAACTAGAATATCAAACAACTTTGACTAATTGCCCTACCTAGGACATATCCAAACAACGTAACCTATCTCACACACCTTAGATAGTTTGTTAGGGCACCAACTCTAGTCTTAGGCTACGCTTGTTGGGTCTAGTAATTAGGATAAAACAAATCTTCCAAAAAGTGTTAGGAGATAACTACACATAAAATAATAATATTTGGAATCATCAAAATAATACAAGTTGCAAGAATGTAAAACATGCAAATAGCAACTTTCCTAACAACGCTGGTGTTTATTTTCTACAGTTATGTGCCGAGTTTTTCGTGGTTTTCAATACATGTTATTTGTTAGTAGCATAATTGATTGATTATTTACTAAATAACTGTTCGTATCGGATGAACTTAGTTCGTACGGGACGATGATCAAGTACGAAGTCATTTCGTACCAATGCACAATGGGCTCGTACGCAACAGTTTTTACATTGTTCGTACGTACGAATTACGATCGTACAGGAAGATTGAGTACGTACATAATTGAATTTTTGCATATTTTGGATGATTTTTCGTGTCTTTCATATAAAAGGTCCAAATAAAACTATCTTGTAATCTTTTTGTTCACTACTCTTCGTGCAAACTGAAGGGAGATTGAAGGAGATAGTGTGAGAGAGTATTTGAAGGAGGATTCTTACTACTAGAGTATGAAGGATTCACTTGGTACTCAAATGTAAGAATCTCCAATTGTGAATTCTGATTACTTCACTCTTTTCTCTCGTCCTTCTAAATTTCTCGTGAAAAGATCTTTCAAGGAGATCCGGTTCTCTGCCGACACTCGAGGAGTGTGAACAGTGGGAAGGTTCTCTGCCTACACTTGGAGAGTGTGAACTGCGGAAAGGTTCTTTGTCTATACTTGGAGAGTGTGAATAGCAGGAGGTACTATGCCTACACTTGGAGGGTGTAAAAGGACGACGGTTCTCTGCCGCACCGGGTAGTGGTGGAAGAGAGATTTTGTGAAGGCTTCTCCACCTTGCTGTGGGGGCAAAAGGAGAGACACTAATTGGTAATAGTGCAATACCTGAAGTGGGAGACTTCAGGGAGTGGATGTAGGTCGTGTTTGACCGAACCATTATAAATCTTGTGTTTTTTTATTTTTCTGCTGCTTTTTACTTTACTGTTTCTGTGTGATATTATGGTTGAAAAATCCTTTTAAAAAATTTATCATAAGTTTTTTATCGGTTTTAAATTTAAGAGAATTTTTTTTTAATTACCAATTTACCCCACCTCTTGGTTAGCCGTTGGGATATAAACTTAGGTCTAACAACCTAATTCATTTTTAACAAGTTTCAACACACCATGTCTATCTTTTGAGATGGTAAGTTGTTCTTTATATGGTAGTTGATTATGTAAAAAAAAAAATCAAAGTGCGTGGTATTTATTTTCCCGCAAAAACTTCCTCAATAAGTCTTTATACTTCCCCCTTGTATCATATAATGTCTCCCTATCCAACGAGATGAAATAGGAAATGTTCATTCATATTATGGCCATCTTTCCTAGTAAGGACTATTTCGAAAAGACCTTATGGGCTAGATCATCTCGACTTGTGATTGAATCACTATGCAGTGAGTTTAACCAACTCTTTGAATAATCCGTCAGTGAAATTGGATTTTAGTTCATACTAACTTAAAACAAAAGTATTAAATACACAATTTTTAAGAGAAAGCATAAATAAGCCTAAGAAAGAAAAACTCAACCATTTAAGGTCTCTCTCCATGTCACCAAAATCCTCCATTTTTTCCTTGTCCTAATTGTCTTCAAAAACTCCTCTACTTGAAAAAGGTTTGGATAAAAGTTATCTCAAAATCTTGAAATATCTCTTAAATATTCTTCAAATGTATGCTCTAGAATAAGTAAGCTTTTGCTTTCAAATAGGTCAAAATGGGACAATTGCCATTATAGGCGTTGAGCTTAGTATTTTTGTGTTCCAAAACTTTGACTTTTTATAACCTAATATTCTTGAAAAGATGAGACTATCGCCTAGGCTTTGGGTCTTGCGTCAAGGCTCTGAGTCTACGTACTTAACAATTTCATAGTATGATGGTAGGGGTGGGTGCTTAGGCATCAAACTGGGCACTTAGACTCCTTAAGTTTATGATTGTGCAAATTTCATAGTATAATGCTCGAAAAATTTAACTTACTCTTTTTGCACATCATGTGCATGAAATTCATCAAAATTAATTTAAATTACTTTTCTAATTTAAATACATTAAATTAATTTATTTAATTATATAAAAAAGACAATAATTAAATTGACTTGTTCTGATAAAATGGGACCATTTTCATAATTTTCCTATCGAACTGTGGTAAGATCCCATTTTTCAAGGTTTAATACGAAATCAATTTTAAAAATAGACAGGAACCAGTCGAACCCATGAGTCATGACCTATTTTCAAAATAACGGTATTCGATGTACAGCCGCATCTCCTTGGCTACCCTAAATTCTGGTTGAGAGTAAGGGGCTCCTTGGCAAAAATGAGATTTAAGTTTAGTGGGATATAGTAAATTCTGTAAATTAGAATTTAGTAAATCTTGAAGTTGTGAAATCTTGAAAACTATTTGGTAAAATAAATGTTAAATCCAAAGAAACTGCTTGATAAGATATTTCAAGATTTATGATAGTTAGAGATTTAAATGTGAAGAAGATAATTATAAATTTAAAATTAAATTTATTATTTAAAAAAAATTAATGTGTTATGAATTTAATAACATGTTAAGTACAAGTTATTTATTAATTATTATTTACACTATTAATTATATATTTAATAATTTATATTTTAAGATATATTAATTAAGCTAATTATATTAATATTTCATTACTAATTATATATCAATTGTTAATTTAATTTAAATTAGATAATTAATTTATGCACTAATTATAATATTAATTATTTAATTAATTTACTTAATTATTAATATTTTAAATTATATTAATTAAGTTAATCAATAATAACTTAGAGGCGTGTAGGGTTTTTGCCTTTCATCTTCTCCTTTCGTCGTTGCTGTTCTGATTCGTCGCTTCGCAGGAGATGTAGAGATTGCACGCGTCGCTTCTTCGTGGCTAGCTCCTTCGATGACTTTCCCTTACTGTCGGATCGGAGGTTGCGATATTTTGATCGGAAGCAACAACCGGAGCTCGCTGGCTGTGAAGGTAACTTTCTACCTTTCGCGCTCTTCTTTGGCCAAATCCCATAAATCCGCCGAACCGAGGGATTTAGTAAATCCAGGATTTAAGCCGTAAATCCTTAAATCCGGGATTTACCCATCGCCGGGATTTAACGCGCGCACAAAAGCCGTTTGGCTGGATTTAGCGTAAATCCGACTTAAATCCCGCTGTAAATCCGATACCAAACAGTCCCTAAAGGAATTTTGACGAAGCTTGCCATTTGGGACGAGGCTATGGCGAGGTTCTCTTTGTACGAGGGCACGAGCGGGAGCAAAAGGAAGAAGAGGAGCAACGAGGAGGAAGATGATTTGAAGAAGAGGACATGCGAGGTCGAAGAGGAAAATTCAGAATCGTGGGAGAACGAAGAAGAAGAATCTAACGAGATCGGATGCGAAGTGGAGGATTTCGAGGAGATAGAGGCCACAGGGGAGGACGGAGTTTTCCTGGGAGGTAATACGGATGGGGAATTTAAATTTCGCATTGATCCGGACATTCTCGATTGCTCTATCTGCTTCGAACCCCTGCGTCTGCCCATTTTTGAGGTTAGACTCCCTGAATATTTGCTCCTTACGTGCTTAAGTAGGATTTAATAAATCTTTTTGTTGTTGCACGGAGCTCTAGTCATGCCAGTTTTTAACTTTGAAACACGAAGAGGGTCCATGACCTAGGGATATGATACATCATGCTAAAGAGACTTAACCTATCTTGAAAAATTGTAGAATATAAATATGTTCATACATCAAACTTGATATACTTTTTTGGAGATAGATGCATGCATAATTTCTCATTATGTTCTAATTTGGTTGTTGTGAAGAGGGCATAAAAGATCTTTTATTTTATGTGTAACATCTCTCTCTGACATTATAAAAGTAACCATCAGTAATTACTTTTAACTAAAGGTTGAATCCATCATTTGGAACTCATATATATCCATGAGGCTAATTAACTCTAATGAAGTATAGTTATATTCTTTTAACTCTTAAGTTAAAAAGTTTTGATTTATAAAGCATAATTCATAACTATTAGGCAGCCTAACATATAATTCATTAAAGAAATATAAATGTAATTAACAATAAATTATGTGACATGAAATAGGTCTATATTGTACCTGCACTATGATTTGGCAATAATACAAAACGCATTTGATAATTATTTAATGAAGTTTTATGATAATTATTATGGCTTTATGTCATGCAAATTAATACAATTTCAATACAACATCAATAAATGAAGCCTTAAACTAATAATTTATTATGAAGCGCTTTCACTTAAAATTTGAATGTTGAACATGGTTTCATGACTCAAGTATTGGTCAGAACCCTACTAGAATAACTATAATCTCTTCATGAGGTTGTAATGTATTCATTTTATTTTTTATTGATTTTTCCCATGCTTGTCAAATGATTTTTTTGTACCGTCTCTTGGTTTGTATTGTATACTATGTTAATATAACCTTTTACACGGGATTGTTGGTATATTTATCACTAGATTTTATCTTCATGTTCTACGATTGTATATATATATATATATATATATATATATTGTTCTCTTATTTTAATCTTAGAGTATTTTTTGAAAGATGATCCTAACAACCTTTTGGACATTATATACCATTGTATGAGGATGGAAATGGAGAGTTTCCCTTACAAAGTGCTCGCCTTGCAATCCAGTCATTTGGACTTGGAAGCTGATAAAGAAATAGACCCTTTAATGTCACTCTTTTTATGGTATTATCTACTTTGGAAGTCTTTCTATTTCCCTTGTTCATCTCTTGATCTATCTTTCTCTCTTAATTTAATCTTTGTCTATTAATTGTCTTAGTTAATTAAGGCTGCCTAGCAAATGAATTTAAAAATGGATGATCAACTTGGTAAATTTGAGAATTGATTCAGGCTTTCTCTTGCTCTCTCCACCTTCTTACAATATTGATATTCCTCCTCTTAGCCTTTTTCTTTTTCTACGTACATCTCACTTTGATGCTTGTGCTGTCTTTATCACCCTTTTGTTTAGCTAAGTAGAAGAAGGCATCACACCTTTGTGTAGAGGTCTTCTAGGATGTTGATGTTGCGGTTTGAATAGTGCGAAGTGTAATATATAATATGTAAAGTCCAAAGTGTAGTGACGCTTTTATTAATTATAACACTCAAAGATATGACATCCACCTTATATAGCGGATCTCTTGAATTTTCAAACATCTCCCCACATAAAATATGTGGATCATTTAAAATTACATGGTTATCTTGAAACTTCTCATATCTCCTATAAATGTTATGGGTCCAATATGATTTGGTTTGCTTGGCACGATCTAGTTGGTAGAGGCCTGATCCCTATCATTTAGCACTAAAAAAAATAGGGCTATCGCAGGACAATTTTTTACTTTTCCTCATAGTTTTAATCGCTACATTTTACTTTGCAGCGGTTCTAAAACCATTGCATCCCTGTTGTCATTGCAATGCGCTGCAACGACATTTCGCAGCGGTTTTAGGACCTATGGGGTAGATTAGAGGATGTGCTAGTTTTAACAGCGGTTATAACCGATGCTAAGTTCCAGATTTATATCGGTTATAATCGCCACTAAAAGCAAAACTTAAAACGATTTTCAGTATTGTAGCGGTTTTAACCGCCACATTTTTGAGAGTTTGTGGCGGTTAAAACCACCACAAATGTCCAAATTTAAAAAAATAAAAATAAAACATGAATGTCCATTGTAATCTCATGGTGACAATTGTAGGAAATTCATGCCAGAAACACCACACATTAACTTCTAAAAAACCTACAACTATGCATGATTCATATCAAGAAATTCCAAAGAATTACCTCATAACTTCACAAAATCTTGTTTGAAATACCACATAAAACCAAGTCAAAATTGACTGAAAAAAATAAGCAAGAAATCTACGCCGAGTCATACTCAATCGGCCCAATCAACTAATTTTCTGGACATTTTGTATAATTGGTTCAATTTCTTTAAACTTTGGCTTTATTGAATTATCAAAATTAGGCCAATTAGTGTAATCTTTCTACGCTTTGTCAATACTGATAAAAAAAAAATGCTTGTGACAAAGGCGTAGCTTCCACATGCTGTTTTGATTTTGACAGCATGTATATACCAAATCCTTTAGTGGAAACCACCAAAGAGGAAGTTAACTTGATTTAGCCACCAGGAAAGATTACATTTGTGAATGAAAACAATTACATCTAGGCATAATGTCTTCCTTTTCACAACCTATTTGTTGCTCACATGGTAAGTCAATGCATAAATATAGTAATACCTGAAGAAGTTCATCGGTACTAATGGCACAAGGAAGATACTCATTCTTCAATATGCGTATCTGAGCACCTGTACTGCTACGAATGCCCTGATTAATCTGTATGTTACGATCACAGTAAGCATTCACATGCTTCTTAAGTTGTGTGCTGCGTTTGATCCTGAAAAATACCTCATTGCCATTAGGAGAAACGACGACCCTTCAGCAAAGCACCAATAATTAGTTGAGGAATTATTTACATATCAAACTATTCTGTGGAATTAATATCTCAAACATTGAACTGTTAATATTTAGTTAAACAATATTTTAAGATTTTTAAATGATCAAATTTCCTTGATGAAAAAAAAAACAGCCAAACAGGGAAATAGGAAAACTCAGCCATGAAAAAAAAAACGTAAACTATCATCTACCTTCCTCTCAGTTACAAGAGCTAAAAAAGAAAAAATAACTACATCATTTATATGCCATTCTAGACGCCTCATAATTTAAAAGATTGAGAATAAGAAAAGTTAGCCGAGGAAGATCCATCCAAAGACATAAATCAATAAAAATGCCACATAGCCATTGCATCTCCAATAGAAATATTTGGTTTGCTTGAATGTAAAATTAAAATATTTTTGCATTAGGTTAAATGGCAAACTCATATTAAAATCATACTAAAAAATGGTCCCTCATCTAATAAAAGCGCTCAGGCTCACAATAACTCTCAATTGATGACAAAACTATAAGCACACGACACTTGATTGGTCTAAAAAAATATCAAAACAAACATCAACATCCAAAAAAAAAGGACTTTCATACCAACATGCTGTTCAAAATAATTTGCACAAACATGGATTATGTTCAAAATGGATTCTTTCTCCTTCTCCCATATCATCATCTTTCAGAAGAGGTTTCATTGTCACCCTATCAATTATAAGAAGATCACAAAATATTAGTATTCAAACGACCAACAATAAAATTAGAATGTGAAATTTTACATACCATTTGTGAGCTTCCTTGAGGTGGATGCTGCATTTGAAATTGTTGCATGAATACCCTTATTTTAGCACGTAATGAGTTGACCTCCTCTCTCAGATTTATTTTTTGACTTGAACTGCTTCCACCCCTACTCCTACCCTCGTTTGTGCTAAGGGGAAAATATCGTGTAGGAGTGACACCAAACCCTTGGGTTCTGACTCTGCCTAAGTGCTCAAGTCCCATAACTATATTGTATACCCTTTCATTAGCCTCCACATTCCCATCCTCTGGTGTCAGCCCGTCCTCAGCCAAAAGATTGCAACCTTGTATCCATGTTATAATAAATTTAATTAACTTTTGTTTTGCCGACCCCACGTAGTGGGATAAAGGCTTGATGTTGTTGTTGTTGTTTGTTTTAAATAAACAAAAAATAATAATGAATTATGTATAAAAAATTTATAGCTAGACTGAAATTACCCATGCTAAAAGTTTGTCCACTTGTTGCATCATAACATTGAACTCCATGTCATAATTCGCATAACTCTTGAATCAAAGGTTGAAGGTAAATATCAATAGCATTTCCCGTACTTTTTTCCCCAGGTATTACAGTTGATAGGATAAAAGAATCATGTTTCATTCCAACTCAAGGTGGCATATTATATGGAACTAGAAGTACGGGCCAAATACTATATATACTACTCATAATCTTGAATGGATTAAACCTATCACTAGCCAAACCAAGGCAAACATTATGTGAATCCTAAGCAAAATCAGGGTATTTAGAGTCAAAAGCTTTCCATCCTTCTCCATTTGCTGGATGTCGTAGCAAGTCATCTACATTTCTGCGTTTAGCATGCCAAAATCTCTTCAGCAGATTTCTTTGTTTTAAAAAATCTTTGGAGTCTTGGAATTAATGGAAAATATCTGGCAATTTTAGTTGACTTCATATGAGTTTTTTTCCCTCCATAAGTATTCTTTATTATAGTTGACCATCTTGATGCTCTACATGTGCAACATATATTCTAATCAAATCTATCTTTCCAAAATAACATACAATTACTAGGACATGCATCTATCTTTGTATATCCAAGATCGAATGTTTTCATTATCTTCTTCACTTCATATATATTTTTAGGCAACAACACCCCTTTAGGAAATGCATCGACCAATAACTCAAGTAGCTTATCAAAGGATCTTGTCGTCCAAGAATGTAAACACTTCAAACGAAATAAGTTCGATATAAAAGAAAGCTTTGAGAAGTTTTTACATCCAGGGTACAACTCAACTCCTGCATCCTGCATTGAATTTGTAAA